CAATAATATATCTCTACATGTATTCTCATTATCCGATATGGAATAGCATAATCGTATTAAGTATTAAGGATTCCACTGCATGCACTGTGATAGCAATATATATTAAAGATAAACCGATTACTAGCATTTCTAGATCATTTTGTGGAATTTACGCAGATATAATCGGCTTTATTCTAATGGAGGAGCGTGATATAATTACAACGCTTGTATCTGTATTCATTTTGAAATTATTTTATATATTAAAGAAAGTGTTAAATGTAAAAATTGAAAGTGTTAAAATTGCGATAATTTTGTTATATTCTTGGCACATAATACGCGTAATGTGTCTCAATATATTTATATGTTTTCTATATTATTATCTAATGGTATATAATCGTACAGTGATATTACACGTATGCAACTTAAGGAAGACTATTAAAGCTTGGCACTGTATTAATATATTATATTAATATATATTTGAAATTGACCGAAAAGACAGAATCCACAAAATGATTAGAATTTTTACCGATACTTTTCGCGCAGCAATTATACGTGAAAAATTTAGTTGTCGAACTACATAATCTATTTAAATATATGCAAAACTTGTAAATTTGCCTTTATAAAAAGTTTACAAACAACATGCATTACGATCGTATGCATAATCATCGAAATGTTACGTGAAACTTTTGTTATGATCGATATGATTTCTTTTCCTAAGAGAGGGTTCCTAAGAGAGGACTTCACATTTGTCATTAAAATTAAAATCGTAGATGTGCTGAAATGCTTGATTTTTAATTAGGCAATGGAACGTACACTCGAACTGTAAGAAAAGAGACGATCAAGTGCACGATGAGAATTGAGTGGTCAATCATTAACGAATTTTCGTTACAAGTCTCTTTTTTTGTTCGTAACGAATCTCAGGCATTACGAAGGATGCAAATCTTTAAGATGACATTCTTCTCTGTACATTTACGTTGCTCGTATGTAACATTGATAAATATTTCAATAAACTCAATATCGCGCGCAAACAATCGTGCAAAAAAACTGTTAATAGATATGATCCAATTGATCATTCCTAGAGAGATAATTGATATCGATTTCATAAATTCGTGTATCCGAACAGTAATAAATGTTTCGCTATCCTCAAAGTTACTTTACATTTTTCTTAGCAAATTAGTTAAACTCAGAGCAACGCGTGACTATTAAGACTATGGCAAATCGATCAATTCAGACTTGCTCTTCAGAGAGAGAGAGAGATTTATGACAGTATCTCGTGTTAATTTAATTTAACGTATTAAAATTTAACAAGTAATTTAACAATTCAAAAGTATATTATATATATATATATATATATATATATATATATATATATATATTTGAACATTTTTCCGACGTTAATAATATTAATAATAATGATAATAATATTTTATATATATATATATATATATATATATATATAATAAAATTATGATAAATTACTATCATCATATTTGCAATATTATGCAAATCGTTATTTCTCAAACTTACTTTATTACTTTCCAGATTCTTAGGAAAACATATCAATAAATTGCAAACTTGAGGAATGTTTTAATTTTAATAAATAACTTGATAAATATTTAATTTTAATAAGTAACTACATATTCTGTCGTTTCTGCGATTTCGTTAGACTAAATTAATAAAACATAAGTAATAAATAAACATATATACGTAATTAATAAACATATATATACGTAATTTGTACGTTTAATAGAGTCAACATAGGTTATCGCTAATCATACAATTAAAATTTCAACATATAAATATCACAGCCAGTTAAACAGCGTAAAATATACAGCACTAATAACACTATTTACACATAATTGTTACGTTGAGATGATTAGAATTCTAAGGATGGAGATTTGAAATTTTCTAAACGCAAGATATATACTTCTGAGTAAATTTTCCGAGCAGCAAATAATAATTATGTATATATACAGCATACATATCGTGTCTACATATTACAATCACACGTTGCTCGTAGATTATCGTTGTCCACAGCACATACTGTCAAGGATTGTAATTAAGGTACGCCAATGTACACATACGTACGCAAATCACTCACACACGTTACATGCATATAAATTTATAATAATGTAGGTAATAATTGTCTAAGTAAGGCTGATTAAACGCATTTTTATTCCCTTCTAACGAGCCTCCCTCTTTCACTTTTTCTTTTCTCGTTTTTCTCGATTGATTTTCCGTTGTTGCAAATATTACATATATAACATCATACAACACACGATATCGAGAGACGACGTGTTTAAGAATCGAGATATTTTATCTTCTCTTAAGCTCTTGGTATTTGAAAGTACAATAATTCTCAATAAAGAGAGATAAATAAGAGCAAAATAATTAAAGAATAAGAGAGAAGAATAACTTTTTGTAATTCTCTCTCTTTAGAAGTTTGTATGAAATTTTGGATGTGCTTAAGAATTTTACTTCTTGAGAGTAGCTCTGTAAACTATCTGATGAATTTTAAAATGAGAATATAACTCCCATTTGATAATTACTCGCACATTTTCAATATATTATATAGTATGAAACGCTCAAAATTGCAACTTTCCAAAGTTTCGAACACAAAGGTTTAATTCTAAAATATTTCTTAACACTTTTTTATCGCGATACATTTTTGGCTATCGAATCCTTTATCTCGACATCGAGTGTCTTGTGAATTATTCGTCTTTGGATAAATCCAGGAAGGCTCAAATCTCTCATCTATCTCGGGATCTCGCGTATCCGCATATACGGGAGTAAATGTATCTCAACAGTTATCGAATGTCGCCCTAACGTTACAAATCCCTAACAAATTTACAGAGGTGTTCTAAATCAACGTGGCAGTAGAATAATGTTTTCCCTCGGCCGCGGAGAGCGCCGTAACTCGAGCAACGTGACTCGAAATCGCGCCGAACGCACGCTTAATCCTCGTGAAGCTTTTATTTGTTCATAGTAAGAGCACTTAATCGCTACGTTTTCTTTTAAACTCAACTACCCATCGCGATGTTTTTTTCCCTCACTGTTTTCCTCCACTATTTCGGGTTACCGCGACCTCGCAGCACGGCGGGATCAGTTAACCGGATTTACTGATACTTCTCTTAAGGATAATCCCTTATATGGTAATCATTATTCAGCGTGAATATCATACAGATGACATGAGCCTAGAGATTTACACGCGTTGCTTTTCAATCCAAAGATTGATACCGATATAATCTCGGAAACGAAAAGAAGTCGATTTTTTATCGTCTTTTCATTCTATTAATATTAAAAACAATAATATTTAACGTTTACTTTACTCTTTCTAAATTTTTCACTTTTGGTAACTTTTTATGCAAAGATTTTCACGTATTTCAGTTTGTCATTGCTTGAATAATTGTCATGATTTCAGATATAAAAAATGTGCTAAAATAATTCTTCTATCATTTGTAAAAACAAATTGACAAGGGATGTATTTTTCCGAGATTATACCAATTTCAATCGTCGCTTTTGGAAGAACACATGAAGAATCGATTTTCTTCCTCGTTCTTTGCATTCTTCATTTCTATCGCTCTAGCAAATACCATATTTTGACCTAATTATCGAAAATTTCAGATATATAGGGATGCTCGTGAAATTGTGATAAATGTTAAAAAAATGTTGACATATAGTAAAGACTATTCTCGATGATTTATAAATATTAAAAAAATCGCTGCCGCGTGTGTTTTGCAAACGTCTCGTGCGAGGATCTCGCTCCATTTCTCTCTTTTATTCTATTTACGTGATTCGATGGATTTTCGCGCGCTCGTGTATCGCCTTTAAATGCATCCTTTTTTCCTTCCTTCCTTTCACTTTCCTTCCTTTGCTATAGGAAAATGAAATATTCGATACGACTGTCTCAAAACACTGCCCACGAAGGTGACGACGATCGTTGATTATCGTGGAGGAATAAAAGATTACTGTTCTGTTTTAATCTCTCGTTGTTGACCAAACGAACAAACGATGTTCAACAAACGACCACATGTGGAAGCGGAAGTCGGAAGCAGTGATGTAAGTGATGGCTTTAGTTGGTCCCGAACATGAATTAGAGAGCTGTGCAAAAATCATAATTATAATTGCTGATATTGTTCTTATAAATTAATCGAAATAATGAATTTCAACAAATTAAGCTTTAATGTATCTCAGAAAAAAATTGATAGAGCCTAATAAAAAAAATTATCTTCTTAACAGATTATTAAAATTAATATCCCTAATATTCGTTTTGCTTTTGCACGTTTGCTTCTACATTCGAAATGGAATTGATATTAATAAGGCGTACGAATTTTAATTAATTTCAATTATAAACACATTGAAATTATTGTTGATAATGAAGCAAATATTGAAGACTTATATCATTTACACAGTAATTATAATCTTTGCACAAACCTGCTCCAAGAGTCGCGCATCGAAACGTGTCGACCGTTGCGTCACGGATCTCAGCTCATGGCAACACTACGCACGTCGAACGCAATATACACGCTCTCTCTTTCTCTCTTTCTCTTTCTTTCTCATTTGACTCTGCATCTCGACTATTACAAACTACCTATTAATTAACCTATACGGTCCTATAACGTACGGATCAATTATATTCTGTGGCAGTTTATTTACAGTGCGACTCGCGCCGCGGCCCCTTATATTCGCGCCATCGATTCCTAGATGAATTGCATTCGCCATCACGCTGACTATCGCAATTTCGATCGTGGTACATTGAAAATCCAACAGTGCTGGGCCGAGTGACATTATAAGTGAAATTATAAACTCATAATTTGGAAGAGAAGAATGGAATTCTGAGCGAAATTAGTCTCGCTCGCAGCTGATAGTTAATAATTTACAAGAAATTATATGGAATCGGTTAATTAAAAAAACATATACGACGATGGTCCTCATATCGTCCTTTCAATTCTACCCTACGCCCAGCAAGTCACGGGCCGCGGCCCGGTCGCATGTGTCCTTAAAACATCGTCTATTTACAGGAACAGCACGATCATGTAATTGAGATATCTGGCGCTAGTGGTACCGTTGAGCTTCGTGCCACCGCCGTTCTCCTCGTCATTCTCGCTGGCAGTGTCGCCCTTCGTCTCGATGATGGTGTCGAGCCTTTCCATCATGCCCCGCTGGGGATGATGGTTGCTCGAGCTCTCGCTCTCGGGGGTCTCGTCGGAGTCGATGTCGATCGTCCGATCGTTTACCTGGATTTTCACCACGGCGTCCACCGGATATCTGCTGTTACCCTCGTCGCTAGAAGACGTCGTCGCGCCGGTCGCACTAGATCCACCGGCGACTCTTGAGGCGATTGCGGTCTCTCGCTCGCAGCGTGGACAGATTTGACCGTTGGACGAACCTTCGTCGCTCTGACAGCGGAAGCAGATCAAGTCGCCGTCGCTGGAGAAGTCGCAGTGTTCGCAATGCACGACGATGTAGCCATTACCTCGGCAGAGCTCGCAGATCGGACTCTCGTCGCGGTCTGTGAGCAAATTTACGGGTTAGCCACGACAATTGCCTGGGGTGGTCTAAGATTGTCGGCCCTTTGAGAGGCAATCTCCGATAGCGGTTGCCGCCTCGGAGATCGCATGAAACCTCAGCGAGTGATTGCGAGTGCAAGCAGCGAAAATATAAGTGCGTGAAACATGCGGTAGACAGTAAAAAAATTAAGGAATACATCGAGTGCGTGCAAAAAAAGAATAGAAATATTATATACAGTGTTTTTTAAACATATCGAGTGGAAGAATAGACGTATTGTTTTGCAAGCACATTGCTAAAAAGTAAAATAACTATGTATATTAAATAATAATACTTATTCTTTTAATGAATATACGAGGATTTCAATAAGAAAAAGAGAAATTATGATAAGAGAATTATAAACATTTTTAAGTCTCTAAATTATCTACACTTTTAAAAAAAATTAATCAAATTTTTCATTAACAGGAGAAAGAATATAGCTTTAAAGATGCAAAAAATATGCGAGTGCGAAGAATCAAGAATGTTACGTGTACCAGATAGTGTGAAGATGGCGAATCATCAAAAAACATCAAAGCCATTGAAATTAATAAAGCAAAGCGAACGAACTTGTTCAATCCTCGGACCAGAACTGGTCGAGGTACTCGCCTCTGTCGACATCACCTCGATCGTCCGTATCTCTGGCGGTCCATCCGCGTCGTTGCTGCTCCTGCGTCCGGTAGGATCGAGGTGACGTTACCGGCACCGGTTGCTCCGAATCGCGATGCGATCGGGGCGACGACATCTGGACCACGCGATCTTGATCTGACGGATGGTGGGAGGAGCGCGGGGAAGTCAGCTTCACCGGGCTTCTGTAGGCACGAGAGGTTCCTGGCTCCTGATGCCGATCGTCCATACGCTCCTCCACATATCTACCGGCGTGCGAGCCAGGTGTTTGCGGTCGATAGGTGCAGGGATGTGTCTTGTGATCGCACTCGCTGCACAGCAGCAGATTGGACTTACTACCGGGTTGTGAGACATAGCCATTGCAGGTACCGTAGTAATGCTCTTCCTCGTCGCTGTCAAACAGGTGCTGGCTCAAGCTACCGATCGACTTTGTGTCGCTAAAGATCCTCGTATCGTCCGGCTCTTCTTGATCATCGACATCGCGCCTATCGAAAGTAAGATCGACTCATCACAACGTTTAATCGCATACTCAACGTTATGTACGCTCGTAGCTATCAAACCATATCGAAATAACGAAAGTTAATATAGCTTATATTGGCTATGAAAAGTCAGCTTTCTATCGTTAAAGAGATATCATTTTGCTCCGCGTATAATATAATATGTATTAATTATTTCTATAATATTTTAATTAAAGAAATTTCTTCACAAAATTATATAATATATTGAAGTCGATTAACTGCGATTAACGAAGAGAGAAAATGATTTCGTCAAATTACCTAGTATCGGTCGCTTCAACATAGTGACGTGTCCGTTCGGTCTTGGTCTTGCCGCGCTCTCGCGGCATTGTTTCTCGTTAAATAATGCTCTCTCGATTTCTTTCATTGGTGTCCTCGACGCTCGAGGTCGAACTCGCCCCGCAGATCTGCATCTCGATCTCGGCCAGCCGGTGCTCGACCTCCCACTGTTGCTGATTCAGCTTGACACTCATCGCCGCGTTTTCGGTTTCCAAACATTTCAAACGCTCGCGGAGACGCTGAATCTCCGCCAACAGAGCCTCGTGCGTACCGAATAGAGGTGTCGTACCCTCGCTCACCAGCTGAGTCATACTGTTGCAGGTCATACCTGTATGGAAGAAGACGTATCGTCGTTATTTTGTTCATGTTTTTCTCAAAATTATTATTTAATCTTCTTATAATAGTGTCTTAATATAAATGTATATATTAGTATAATTATATAATATAATACAGTAGCTAATTATAATCTGTAAATATTACAAAAGCGAATATAAACGAGCGGATGAATATTTAGCGAGTATAATACGAATTCACGAGATTGTTGACGTTGATTGGAGTTGATTTATTCTCTGCCTTCCATGAGGATCACGAGACATTTTCAATGCGAGGTATTTAACATTTACACGTGAATATACGTTCTCTTCTCTTTTCTATAGTCTTGTTAGGACACAAATACATGCAATTATCAGTCGTTGAAAGCTAAAATAAGAAACATAAAAAAACACAAATGCTAATTCAGCGTCGGCTAAATAAATCCTCGAGGGAGAGGAATTACCCAGGTCTTTGTGACTCGTTGATGTTGATTAATGCGTGCGATTAGTATCTCTTTCTCATAATTTGCGTGTATAGGATGAATCATCGCATAACGAGGGTTGATACAAATGTATGGCCTAGCATCAGCAAAAATTGCTGATTAACTTACAAATTATCAGTTGTGTCCTACATTTCGAGAGAAAGAGAGAAAAAAAGGGGAAAAGCCGATTCAATCGTCTAGGGATTCGTTTCGATCGTGTCGTTTAACACTTTGTAATCGTGGACTATTTAGAAGAACGTTCGTTTCCATTTAACACGTATCGAGAGAGCCGCAATATATATCGCCGATTAAATCTCTATCAGTTCGATTTCGATTATTTGTACTCCGGCTCGTTATCGCCGACAGCAAATCTGTCGCTTTAATCGCGACTCCGCGATTCAAAATTATATCGAAATGCGCTGTAAACGGCAAACGCTCGATTATCGTGGAATTTCCAGTGCGCGAAGAGGCGGGATTTTATTTCCCAAACGACATATAAACGTCGGCAGAGAAACACGTTAAATCGTTACTACCTATCGTATCTATCGGGGTTAATGGTCAGGCGCTATTTTACGAGTGGCGCCGCTCGTCATTCATTATATCACGCGCGATATTTCTGAATTTGCCCTTTTTTTTCGTCGTTTTATAGCGTTGCCTGGTAAAGCATTGATCGTTCGCACATTCCGCTCGCGTTATTCACGTCCGGTTAGATTTGATTTGCAACGAGACCGCTTTCCGCGGAATTCTAATTCGATCGGCTGGGTACGGGATGCAACCGAATCGCTCGTTCGTTTACGAAGATGCAATAAAGCCCCTTCCGGAGATATACACACGATTTCCACATAGTTCATCAATCACTTTCGTCGTAAACAATGATGAACTACTAAAAGTTCATTCAAATATTGGACGATTAAATTTATCGAGATGAATCGAGATAACAAACGATATAGATAATAACAAGAGTGATTCACGAATGACGAGATAATTTCTATGATGTTGAGGGAAAAAGAGGCCTTGCGCTTAGATCCCCTCGTTTCAAAGTGTCTTTTGTTCTCTGATAATACTTCCAGGGTAGAACTTATTACGAAACGTTCAATCGAACGTAACGACATCGATAGTTTATGGTACAGACGTTACCGTGGCCTTTCTAAAAAAGCTTTTATGGAACGTGAAATATTGATGACTAGAAAGCGAGAGGCTATGAAGGTCTTCCTATTCTCTCTATGTTCGCGCCTCACTTGATCGCGCCAAGTCTTATAGTCTATAAGAAACTACAGTTGTGCGTCAGCAGTTTGCGCGAACATAGCGTCAGCTGTTATCAGCAATAATTTATACACTCTCATATATTATCGCGAGAGAATCGCTAGAGATAGCGATCGACACTTCTAAAATAAATCCGACGTGAAACAGACTTTTTATACAAATAAAATAAATGTACGTTATATTAAACATAACGGGATAAAATTTCCAGCGCTCCTGTTGTGCTTTATCAACGATCGCAAAATTTACATAATTATTCGCCGGCTACGAGTGGCTACAGAATTACCCATCAATATTTTTATCTCCACCATTTTGTCGAATTTGCTTCCATATTTAACAGTTTCGAAAGATGCGTTTGTTTATGCCTTTCCTTTATTCTCTAGCATTTTTTCAATCTTATACAGGCATGAACCTTCGATTTTCTATTCCCCATTATTCGATTTAATAATTATAATATGTTATTTGGCTTTCAATAATCAGATTTTTGCGAATAAGAGCGCAGTAGTTACATCCGTCACTGACAAGACTGTAAGAGGATTAAGTTCCGGTTTGTGATACACAAACATCCCCGAATCGGGTACAGTGCTTGCGTAAGGAGATACGACAAATGAGAAAAATCCACGTTCAGACTCGCTGGAGCTCCTTTTGAGAAAGACAGCTCGGATGCATTTTGGAAAAGAGCCACGTATTTGGAAATAGGGTCACATACGTCGCGAGAGAGGGCGAGAGATCGAAGGGAGACTCACCGGAGTGGGTGGAGGGTTGCGTGGCGGCCGATTGCGGCGCCCTGGCCGTCTGATCCTCGCTGCTGGGACCGCTGCTGGCCGCGCTCATCGGGCTCTCCGCGCCTCGAGGGACGTTCGCGTCGCCCAGGCCTTGCACGGTGCGCCTGGATGTCGGACTCGGGCTAGGTGAGAACAACGAGGCGGCCGTCGAGTACGCGTGGGTCTTGTAATCGAGGGGTGCTACCCACATGTCCTCCAGCGACACGCGGCCCCGCGACTCCACCAAGCCGGGCGTGCTCTGGCATCTGCCTATGGCAGCTGCAAATTCACGTCATGTACCTGACATTAGTTTACAGCGCTTGGGGACATTAGTTCCCAATAATATTGGATTATCTTTCTGGTTTTTTTTTAATCGATGTGTTTCTGCAACACATCATGCCCTGCTTTTCAAATCTGCAGGAAAAAAGGAGATTCAAACTGATTGAAAAGATTTAGATATTTAGATATTTGTTGCAAAAGTTATCAAAAGAGATAAACTACTTAAGAAACGTCATTCTTTATTATAGGGTAAATTGTCTGCAAGATAAGAAACGCGGAAATATATGCAATTTCATTAAAAGGAATATTTAAATTCGTGGAAGATATTTTTTAATTTATTCCGCTCCTCCCTCTGGTGACTCACTTTGCATAAGAAAAATTAACAAGAGAATTAATATATTCGCAAATATTAATTTCTAATAATATTAAAACAGTAATATACATATATTCGTTTTATTTAGACTCCAAGTTTCGTCTTCGATAAGATCCGTTTTTATGCAAACGAAACTTTAATTTTAAAAATCGCTACAATCTTTCTGATAGTGCGCAAGAGAACTTTGGCGCTTCGATATTATTCGCTATCATTTTTTAAACCCATCTTGATGAAAATGAAACCACCACGTAAAAAGCTCAACCGGCGGAATTTTCAAAATACAGGGAAATAACGAGGAGCTGGCCATTTATTTGGGATATCACTCATTCACATTGCGAGTTATCCATGCATCGTGTTTACGTGCATCGCGCTCGATACGATCTATACGTGCTCTCGAATTTCCGCTTTTGGGGCGTGTTGACATTTAATCGACGCACCGACAGTATTCAGTGACATCAATGGTACGTTATTCTGCTTTGACGCGATTCTTCGATGATCGAAATGTGTAATTCTTCGACTAGTTACAGCTAGTTGCTGCTCTGCGAATCGCATTAAACGTCAAGAAATTTCAGATTATTATTACGTTTCGATCGTATAATACTTCCTATTCGTTTATGCAAAATTGTACTCATCTATTGTAAAATAATAAATGACGTGAAAATAGCGAAAGAAAGATATTTATATATTATTTGACGAGTCATCGAAGTTCAATAATATGATGAATGCATGGTATTGGCTGCTGAGTGTAGCCAGTTAACGATTATCATTATGAAGGCTTGTGTGGGTTTGGGTCAGTTAAAATAAAAATCCTTGTAATTAAAGTGACCTTTAAATATCACGACAAACAAAGTAAATCGCGGATCTATAATAGATGTGGCAGAATCGAAAAAAATTATTATTTCGATGACGCACGAGGAATGTCATGAGTGTGCGACTCTTCGTAATTAATTAAGTTAAAAATTAAGTTAAAAATTCAAGTATGCAAGTTATTGCAAGGTATATACATTTGCGCAAATATATTCGTGACTTTTAAAATCGTAGCTTTTATTTCGAAAGAGTTCGATCTTTGCGCGAAAATATCGCGTCCACTTTTAAGAACCGGTGACATTAATGCGCGGTGATGCGTCTCTTTTTAATTTTCAAGTCTATTAGAGTGCATTGCACTTCGATACCAACGACGGATCAATAAGTCGTCGTATCTCGCTCTTGGCATCGCATACGCGTGCAATTTCTTTTTTCATCCCTATAACTCACCGCCGTAACTCACGCTACGCATTACACTTATTACAGCGACCTAATTTCTCATACGTCATCCCGACCGACGTTAAAGTACATTGGCTGCGCGATGCGCGGGATGAACACCGAGTGAAAGTCCATCGTTCTGATAGTGATGAATGGAGCTTGAGAGGGGAGTTTACAAACGAAATAAGTTTCTGCAACGCATTCTGTAAGCGGATTATCGGAAAATGCTACGATGGACTGGCGATTGCGCTTTCCAAAGAAACGAAACCTCTCAAGGAGATACTTGCAGTTATCGCATTTTATTCACCTCTGCCTTTATAGCTTTTAAAATACGACGTTTCAAAATTATATTAAGCTTATTTTTATTATTATCCTTACAAACCAAGAAAAAAACGGATGAATAAAAAAAATAAGTACATATGAAAAAATAATGTCTATCTAAAATGATTGAGTCTTATTTTTTTTTTAGATTTATATATCTTTTAATATTTCGATCGTTTCTCTTTGATCGCTGCTTCTCTTTTTTCGTTTTCATATTTAAAAAGAGATCTCATTTTAATTTGCGAATGCATGATACCGGATATTTTCCTCTATTTTCATCTTCTAATATTTCTTCTGAGTGAATGACATATATTGCCGGGACGCGTCTGTGTATATCCGCACATTTTTTACTAGAAAATAGGAAGAGGGCTGGAGGGCTTTCAACCTCGCATGAGCCATAGGCCAGGGTTGATCCGTCGTATTGCGGTATATATTCTGACCATCGTTTCCGCGTATGTCGGATCAACGAGACGCCCGGAAGAAAAGAATTGCTGGGACTCCCGCAGCTATTTATCTCCATCAATGCGGCATTGACTTTCGCCGCTGAGTACCCTCCGACTCTGTTCATTCTTCGCATTTTTACATGTGCGAGGAATTAGATCGCGAAAACATTTCGCAGGCGGACGAATAAATTTCGAGGTAGCGATATCGAGATAGAAATATTTGCCCATTGTTGCATTTATGCGTTAAGCACGATCGTATAATTTCCACCTCGCATTCATCCACCATGCTCTCTGTATTAAACAATTGAACGTATGGAAAAAATAAATAAAAAGGTAGTGTGATTTTTCCAGATAAAAAATCATTTATATATAGAGAATTATAATTCATAGAGATATATAGATTCATAGAGATATAATATATAGAGAATTATAATTTATTATAATTCTTGAGAAGAAAAACTTAATATTAATAACTCGCGATGCTTTATATCGACATCTTTTTTTCATTATTACTTCTAGAGAACATTTTCAGAAATAAATGGTACTTGAAAACTAATGACAGATAGAGTTCTTCGTCTCACAACTTCACGTTAAAATCGAAAAGAGCGCTCGTTCATATCGAGGAATACAGCGTTAAGTGTCCATTAAAAGTTCCATGCTTTGGAATATATCTTTCAAACGCTCCACTGAAGTTCAACGACCGAAAATCTTCAAAGACATTAGCGTGGGAATATCGACGATCACGTAGCATTGAAAGTGCTCAGCGAGGGTGAAGACGCGATTTCGTTGCGAATCGTTCAAAAGATTTTCGCGAGCGCGTGTTGGTAATAGGAGGACGGAGAGAGCCGAGGAATTTAATTAATTAATCCGGAAACTACGACGCGCGCGCGCGCGCGGGCAAAAGCCGCCACCCTTTGCTCACCCTGCGGTGCTAGGTGGCGAAGTTCGCTGTGTTACGCACCAAACTTTCGAGCACGAGGCACCATTACAGAGAACTGCGGCAAAACATTAATACAGTCGCTTATCCCTTGCAGCTTTGGAAGAGAAAAATAAAATTATTCTCTTTATGAATGAAGCCGAGTTTTTAACCTGGCAGGAAGGTTGAGAAAAAAATAAAGGAAATTGTTTCCCTTTGTAGAAAATGTAAACGATAGTAGTTGCACGATAGGTCGTTGCAACGCCGTTTTTACCTAACCGTTTTAATCCTCAATGAAAAAGATGGAAAGTTAAAAATTATTTCCATTGACATTTCTTCACGTGACGACATTTTGTTACTGTTAACTTCTTTCGTTCAAATGGTATTTATTTTTCGAAAATATTCTATAGAAGAGAAGCCTTCAAAAAGACTTTTCATATGTGAAACCCCATTTACGTTATATGATCATTGCGTTTGCCGAAGAAAGGGGAGAAGAGGAAAAGCCACGAGCAATTTTTCAGCAAAAATAGAGGTCGAAAAGAATGTTTCGGACGACGGTTTTTTGAAAATAAAAGACGAGCGATGAAAGGGAGATGTTGATAGCATATAGCCCTCGAGGCAGTCAACCCATGGTGTATCTCTTTTAGGCGCGTGCCTGTTTTTCACCATAGTCGCATCACAAAATCCGAAAGAGATAAAGAAAGAAAATGAAAAAAACTGCTCTTTCTCATTAATCCTTAATGTCATATCTCATGATATAAAAATGATATAAAAATAATTCGTGAAAGATGAGAAAATTAATCTTGACCGGATAAAAGTTAACAAAGAATTAATTCCATCTCTATCAATAAAACTCAAGCCAAAGTTAATCAACAGATAAAAGACTCGTGAAAGTTACTTAAACCCTATGATGTCATTTTTATCGAAAAGCGCCAAAGATCGAAAAATATTTTTTAAGGATTGATTCTCTCGAGAAGACGGAAAATTCAGTTGGAATAAAATTTGATGCTACAAATAAAATACTTTTTATCGGAATGTAGGTTGATTCGTTGTATCGAATCCAAGTGAAGGAATACGGATAGGAATTTCGCGATAGCGGCTCAGATCTACAAGGATGTCAAATCTACTAGTTCAGCTATCTTGAAACGTCACGCGAGGCTACAACGTATCCGTCTCGAAGACATCTTTAACTGCTATCATTATACACGCCCGAAACTACAATCGAGTGTTCCACGTCGGTTCATTCGTTAATGCGCCAGCGACGAGAGCGTATCTTGATGGAAAGGTTCAAAGTTCTCCGAACGGCATCCGCGCCCTGAAGAACTTGCCTTATACCGAGGGCACGTAAACTTCCGCACGTCTAGCTATTTTAACGACGATAACGAGGAAAGTTTCAGGCATCCGCGGTGTTTCGGTCGCGCGTCAAGCAGCTCGCAAGGCGCGACACGTTTGCTGTCGAATTCGAATCTGTTTCGTACGTGAAGACTCTGAAGACAAGTAAATTGAAAAGGAGTTTTCAACGTATTTCCGACGCGATACGTTTCCTACGTGCAAACTTAAATCGCACGAGCAATTTTCAATTCACTCGTGAATCATATCTAATAATAAGATAATAGGAATGAATAAAATTATAAAGAAATTTTAGAGCGTTCCTATTCTTCGAGTATTTCTCGCAAGTGAGATTTCGAGAGTTGGAACAATGTCTTCATCAGCTAATTTGACGTAAAAAAATTTAATAAATTTGCCTTCTTTCAATTATCTTTTATGAGTAAAAAGCTTGAATTTTATTGAAGATATAGTTTCGAAAGGCTTATTTTTCAATTTCTCTTGCAAGAATTTCGAAAGCTGTTCCAACTGAGCATTATAAACTTGCACGAGCAATCTTCAATTCACTCGTGAATCGTATCTAATAATAAAATAATAGCAATGAATAAAATTATAAAGAAATTTTAGAGCATTTCTATTCTTCGAGTATATCTCGCAAATGACATAGATTTCAAGAGTTGGAAAAACTCTCAGCTAATTTGACGCAAAAAGATTTAATAAATTTGCCTTCTTTCAATTATCTTTGATGACTAAAAAGCTTGAATTTTATTGAAGATATAGTTTCGAAAGGCTTTTTCAATTTCTCTCGCAAGAATTTCGAAAGCTGTTCCAACCAAGCATTATAAACTCGCACGAGCAATTTTCAATTCACTCGCGAATCATACCTAATAATAAGATTAGCAATGAATAAAATTATAAAGAAATTTTAGAGCGTTTCTATTCTTCGAGTATTTCTCCCAAGTGACATAGATTTCGAGAGTTGGAAAAACTCTCTTAATCAGCTAATTTGACGCAAAAAAAATTTAATAAATTTGCCTTCTTTCAATTATCTTTGATGAGTAAAAAGCTTGTATTTTATTGAAGATATAGTTTCGAAAGGCTTTTTCAATTTCTCTTGCAAGAATTTTGAAAGTTGTTCCAACCGAACATTATAAAGGATGTCTTCTCCTTTGCTATTAAGGAGAAATATGATAACTGTTTTGTATATACTTGATGCGCACGAGCAGAGACAAGACAGGTTCGACTCACCTTTCTCCAGAGGGGCTCTCTTGTACTTCTCCAATCTCTTGACAGCGATAGCTTCTAGACGTACCCTGGCAGCCGGATACTCCTTGAGCACGTCCCACATATCCTTCTTACTAAGGACGAAGAGGTCCGAGTAGCCGACCGACCGCACGCTGGCTGTTCGCCGGTTACCTGCGTCGATGTAGCCATTTATTGGTTATCGGGATGCATCAAGCTTTCTTATGTAACCGCGCACGTGATCGATTTGTGTCGATCGTTCGTCGCATTTACAGACTCACTATGTCACCTCGCTCGCCTAACTCGATCGATCCGGAGATGCACGTGGTTCCGATTGCACGCCGATACTTTTTTTTTTTGATTGAAAAATCTATTTTATATCGCCCTACATCTATAAAAGCTGCGTTCTGATTCGATAAATCTATGTTAATCGAGTTATATCGTTCGCTCGTATTTCCGGCTTTTTAACAGAGGCAGAAATTAATTTAATCGTCCGGTGTTTGTCCGCTGATAAATTGATGAATGATAATGGCAAGTACGAATTAATTGCTACATGGTCTGCACGGTATTTATCCGATATTTTTTTGCGCATTTTTTCGCGGATTCAAATGCAGCTGGCATTTTTGAGCCTTTGTTTCTAGGCGGGAAAAACTAAACGTTCAAAAACTACGCTAATAAACTAGTTTGCCCAATATAATATACCGAGCCATCATTTGCGACTTTAATTGATGTCAACGATATTTTATATACCAACGTATAAAAGAACGCGTAATTAACGAACAAAGAGCGAGGTAATTGCTTCAGATAGACGTCTAAAACGACGATAATTCAAGCCGGATAAACTTTATATATATTTCCAAGGAAGATTTAACCGTTAGATAAATGTTACGTTTGGAAGTCTCGCTTCATTAGTATGCTACGAATGCACCTGAGTCGTAATACAAATTGTAATAATTAAGCTAAGGCGACGGAGTACTCTACCGTTGATTGAAAATTATGCTCTCGTATTTGTACATGTATCTTTGCTATAATTGTAGTATGCGGCATGCGTTTCTCTCTATCACGAAGGGAATTATAAATAGCTCTTCCACAACTTGCGTCATATATTATTCAGAAAGTTTTCACGTCTCGAATGCAACAAAGCTCGTTTTACCCGCTTTCAGTCAAATATATCGTAACGCGCTTAGAATCGTTAATTCGAACAAAAAATTGAGAGAATACAAATTTTGCTCCCATATTTCTAAAGTATTTGAATTATTTATTATTGAAATACTCTTTTCTGCTAGTCCGATATACATTCTCGGGTTTTTAAATATAAATATATCTGTATATAATGATTTATAAGTATAAAATAAAAGTATTTTATATTTTACAGTTATACTTTCTCAAATTTTTAAACGCGTAAACCAGATAAAATTTTTTTGATGTCCTTAACATATTTGTATGCCTATTGTATTCGATTAATATTAATATTTTACCAAGATAATTTAACGATTATTATTCGTTGATTTGCTGTTATGATTAATTGATAATTTTACGTTTTTATAAAAAGTCAAATAAATTTTGACTATATATTTTGAAGAAAATACGTGTAAGCGGACGATATGCAAGTTTTACCTCATATCATCACGATGTATCATACATTTTAATAATAAATGCATATCCAGATATTCCTTGTACCTTTTTTGACAATGATCTCTTCTTACCAATTTGCATTGCAAGATGCATTGTAAATTATGCTTGTTATACCACAATGTCAATAGGTTGCAATACTATATATATGACTATAACGTATACGTATATCGATAAAGAATATATATTGTTGAAAAGAGATAGTCTATTTTATGTTTTTCACAGATAACATTCACTCTCTTTATACATGTACTTAAATATGTACTAAATGAATATAAAATAACGAAATAGACTATCTCCCTTCGTAGATAGATCAAGATAATCAAAGTTATATATCTGGTGTTTCAAGAGTTAACTTAAGATAAAGGATGCCAGAAACTATCATAATCAAATTGTATGTGTATACATATGTATATATAAATATATATAAATATGTGTGATAATATAATTGGCGGATCCGAATGCAGGTTAATATATCCGTACGAAACCAGCACAGTAAATTACAATCATCAATAATAGCCTAAGTCAGGTAGAATAATGGTGACAAACTGTGAGAAAAATACGTGAACAGTGCAATGAATATGATAATATATCGCATGAAAATGAAAATGTTCGTAGAAAGCATTTGTAAACAATGATCGTGCACAGTAATAATTTTTGGGCGATCAAAGCCTATTTACACTAGAGCTAAAAACAATCATCAATATTAGCTGCAAATAATGCAAAATATTTTGGCACTATTGATTTATAAGCAAACGCGAGTCTGAGCTCTTCTTTACAAATGCCATTCTTCAATTATTAAAGATAGACGTAACAATTAATAAATATGCAAATGGTATAATATAAAACATGTGACAATCCCAGCGTGACGTGGCAGCACCGATTGTGAGAGTCAAAGACATGATGCTGAAAAGGACGCGACTAAAATCTGAATTGATCCAGAGTTCTAAGCCATCTCTTCTAATAATAGAACTACGAAAGCGAAATAGAAATTATGTATGTGTATGTGAGCGCGCGCGCGTGCACACGAGAATGGCTAAAAATATATATATATATATATTTTTCATCAAAATTTTATCGACCGGTACGCCTCGCGAGAATCTAACTCCCCGTCTGTTGTTTCATTCGATTGATCGCATCGTATACGTATTTTCGAATAAACAAAACGAAAATTCCGATGCGTCATCGAATGATTGTGCGATCTTTTATTTTTTTTATTCCCTTATTTTTTTTTTCGGTAAACGCAAGTGTCGTGGTGATCGCGATAAAAAAAAAAACGCTACTTGATATTTTATAACGTGTGTCAATTCGGTCGGTCGTTCCGGTCGATCTCGTAAAAAAAATAAAATGAAGTACAGTAGCCGTGAGAAAGATTGAAAGGGTGGAGACTAAAGGGCAATACGTGTCACGGGCCTTATTCGAGATGCGCCGACGATCTCGCAACGACCTACACCGCCGCTACTGTGTTTGCGTAATTCAATTAACGTTACTGTTTACTGGATAAGCAGAGCGTATAAAAACTTTGGCTTGATGCAAGCATGAGCGAAATTCAAATACGATTGATATGCTAGCGTAGCTGAAACGCCTGCGGAATTTATGGAAATATCTCGGAACAATGGATACCTTGTTATCTACAAGTAACGGGGTATGAACAACTTTTTATACTTTCGCTAATATTGCCTCATTTTCGTAGATACAATATACCGAGTAATTGAGCTTGTGTTTACCGAGAAAATAAGCTAGGATTGCCGCTGGCATAAACAAGGGAAATTCTTTATCAACTATTTAAAAAAACAGAATATCATGAAGGATCAAGCTTTTTTTAATTCAATAACGCGAAGATCGCGCGCTCTGGAAATATACGAAAAGAGAATTCAATTTAAAGTGGATTAAGATCATTTAGATGGAGCTAAAGTACGATTCTTATTAATCCAAAGTTTCTGCATGATGTATAAAACGTTCGTTGGAAGAAAGAGTTTTCTGGAAGGAGTTCTAGATAGAAGAATATAAAGTTCGTGCCGTTTCCGAGGCGACTCTTTATACACGTTGACGATCCATTGGGCGCTTATTTTTTTCATTTTAGGAGTCATTCGAGAACGAGACAAAGAGAGAGAAAGAGAGAGTCGATCCTCAAAAACAAGAATGAGACTGCTATCGATCCCACACGACGTGCGCGTGTTGACGGCTTCATCCTGATAGACAGAGACAATAGGATTGTCGATGCAGAGAAATTGGAGCGATACTTTGCATTGCCAATTCTCTTTTCACTCTCGCCAGGGACAAAGTCCCGAAAGATGCACGAGTGATTGAAACGGTGCTTTGGGAGCCGACTCTTTTATCACGTTTATTAAATTGTGTTAGGGAATATAAGCGGAAGGAGAATATTTTTCTTCCTTGATTTTCTCTTTTTTGTCAACGTGCATGCGGCGAATGCGAATAATTATTTGGGCTTGCGTTAGTCGACACTGATTGTTCTCCGGTTGATATAACTATGCAACAGCGAAACGTTTAATGGAACTAAAACTCGTTTGTCTTGATATTTTTTGAATTTATTTATCATATTTTTATTAGAAAAAGAAACAATTTTGTCTTCTTTTTTTCATATTTAAAAAGCGATTATTTGATTTTCATTTTACACTTGAATAATGCATATGAAAGGAACCCGACTCTCTCAAATAACTAGATTTCACACTAAATTTACGGTAAATTTAGGACCCGATATATACTACAACAGATCCAGCGATAATGGGAAAGTATCGTGTACGAGCAGCAAAATCGTTCACGGTAGATAGATAATGTAACGTCAATCACAATTAAATTAGAGAAAGCTCTTCTCTCTTTATGAGAAAATATTATTATGCTCCTACAAATAGAAAGAATAGAACTCAATTAATTTTCTAATGACTTATTTATATCTATATATAAATCTAAATTCAAGTTTCAAAGATTACGTTTGATTTTGAAAATATCCAAAAGTGAGAAATATTTCAGAATAAATTCTTTTAATAATATAATATATTTATTCCGCGCATTTTCTATCGAAAATTAATAATGAAATTAAAAATTATGTTAAAAAGCAGAGATAATCATACTATATCGAAATTCCTGTAGATAACAAGAAATAATACATCGTTCTCGATTACAAGTGATACAATAATAAGATATATTTGCGAAGTATATATCGACATATTGCTTATTAAAAAGATCCATTTTAAATATTTCCTTCAATTATTTTTACTTTCATTGTTATTACAATCCCGTTACATAATTTTTTAAAATCCGTTTCAGTTTTTTCTTAAATCATCTTTTTATCTATTTCTTTTTCTAACGTAAGCGTTAAAAATTAACTCTATTGTAAACTACTGATATATAGCACATATTTTTTTTCGTACAAGATTTATACCGTGCGGCTGTCGTTGCACGAACGTCGATCGCGATTAAGGTGAAGATCGACAAGTGGGACAAGTCTGCGAGAAAAAGAGAGATAGTGAAAAATTGCTAGAGAGATCGTTTTTAGATCGGCTCATACCGGCTCGACGGCTTGCCCTCTCACAGAGTGGTAAGAACGTGAAACGTGAAATCGTGATCGTGAAAAACGAAGGGGGACAGCTCACGGGCCCCTGGTCCGTTTGGAATATTTACCGCACTCTTTACCTGCAGTCCCCATATTGAGAATGCTGATCTCCCCGAAGTAGGAACCCGCCTTTAGGGTGGCGAGCACCGTCTTCCCGTTGTCGGCTACCACCTGCAGTCGGCCCCTATTCACTATGTACATCTCCTTTCCCACCTCACCTGCAATCATGCAAAATGCAAAAGTCCAAACATTAATTATTTCTTTATAATATTCTTCGACGGCTTTTTATTCCAATTTAATTTATTCAAGGCAGTTGATATTTTTGAAACTCTTGATAATGAAACTAATATATATATATATATATATATATATATATATATATATATATATAAAGAACAATATCTTTTTTCATTTAAAAAAAAAGTTTTGTGAATGCACTTGACATGAAATCCTTTTTATTCATGCAACATTTTTTTATGAATGTATAAAAAAATAATCAGCCCTCAGTCTCATTGATCTGAGTAACCGTTGATGTATTTCGAGGTATATGACGAGAGCTGATGTATGTCTGTCTATTATATAATAATAATGCTATTATTTCACCGATATGACTACCTACTGTTAACCGTGACATATTTCTCTTGCAAGAACAAGAAGAAAAAATGGAATAATAGCTATAATATAAGAGCTTATTAAGATTTCAACGTACGCGCATAATCCAACCATTGTTTCTTTTCAAGATTAAAAAAGAAAAATAATAAGTCGTAAGAGAAAAATAATAAGTTAAAATTAATCAACTATTAGAGAGAGAAATTGATTTTAACTTAAACTCTCGAGACAGAGACGAGAGAAATAGATAGAGAAAAGGAGAGAGAAAAAAGAACTGCCGCCGGTTGTCAGACAAGTAGTAACGGTAAGTCATAATTCCGACCATAATCGTGCGACACGATATGACAAGGATACGCAAGGAGTGAAGTCACCCATCAGAGGGAAGATATTGCTCATTGGAAGGAATAACCGTTGCATTCGCGAATATATGCTATAGTCGTTTTGTTAGCGATAAAAAAATTCCCGTCGCGAGAAAATAAAGTGAACGAAAGACAAAGAATGGTTCGGTTTTCGATATTTGGTAAATTAAAATTATTCGCGTGATTATTTGTGTTTCAAGAGTGAATATTAAGTATTGTGTACCAAGGAAAATACTAAAAAATAACAAGCTCGCGCTTTTATGTACGAGTGTTTTTATTATGAGCCATAAATATATTCAGGGATGTAACTGTGTTATATTTTTCGAAACAAATTCTGTTCTAAACAGATTTCTTGTTATTAAAAATAATTGCTTCCTGAACATAAATATTGATTAAATAATCGTAAATTGTTTCACAAGACAGATGTAAATAAAAAAACTTCTTTCGCAATATTAAAAGGTTTAAATTAATAAAGAAGAGTCGCACACTTTTATGATTATGACAAATAGAAACATAAATTGATGAATGAAGTGCCCGATTTTGTAACAATATATTCAATGCTATTGTGTTTAAAAGAAATAAAATTCCAGAGAGCGTTGAAAAAAATATTGAACATGGCAGCGTCGTCAGAAACTGATTCTTCATACAACATTAGATTATACTGAAGTAGACCTGTCTTTCTCTCATATTGATACCGAACGACGACAGTCACTTTTTCGATTATAGAGGAAAAATATTCATCCACCCTTGGTGGATTTCCGCTATTAGTAATGGGGACGATATAAAAAAGGGAGACAAAGAGGGAGAGAAAACGAGGGAGAACGAACAATCATTTTTCATACCCAGTACATCGTTTGGTATATTTCCAAGACTACGTTTCGTAAGCAAAACACATTGAATTCAGAGGGAGAGATCGAGCGCGCGAGGTGAAAAAAGATCAAGCTATCTAACAATAAGATTCGTGTCCTCAAAGGAACGTAAATGGGAATAGGCGAGGGCGACGCGTTGCTTTAACCGAGGCGCATTTTTTATCTAAATTCTAATTTATGGTGTTAATTCTCGTTCTCTCTAAAGTGGAGTATAAGGAGAGTTTGCATAAAACATTCGACCTACCACCCAAGTACTCTCCTCTTTCGAGAGGAAGTAGAGCCTCTCGAAAGAACTATGACCCGAGATCTTACCTTTGCGGCAGATGTAGTCGCCGGGTGAGAAGAGAACGGGCCGTAGTCGCAGCACCAGCTCGCACAGGAAGCCAGCCTCCGTGTTCTGGAAAATTTCGACCCTCCTCAGCGTATCCAGGTGTACGTTTATCGCGATTTCTGCCTTCAGCTTATCTGCAATGCACGAGGGAAATGAGAATTAATACGCGATGAGAAAAGAGTGTTAAAAACTTAAGAAAAAAGCAATTTTGGTTTTTTAACGCCAAATGTGCTAAGAATACAATATACAAAATATAATAGAAAAAATATGTGTATTTATTTCTAATTTAAAAAATGTGTATTTATTTTTAATTTATTTTTAATTTAATAATAATTTAATTGGATTTAAAAATTACACGATATAGTTTACCCTTATATTTTCATTTTCCCTTTTCCTTTAATTTTTTTAATTTGATATTTAAAATTTTTTTAAAAATAAAAATTATGTGAAAGAATTATATAAAAATAATAAAAATTCTATGCGGGACAATTTGTAGAGTCACAACATCGGTGGAAGTTGCAAAGCGTTAAAAGATTGTTTTCGTTGCGCTAAGTTACACGACAACTTTAACCTAAAGTTTTTAAGTGAAGCGTAAAACTATTCTACGAACGGAGGTGTATGTGTTTTTTTTAAAGGCAGAGTCTCATTAGCCGGAGACACTTCGTTGAACTTATTGTCTGCAAGATATGAGGATCCAAAAAAAAACTTGTTGCAATTAGAAAGTACACATTTTACAATCTCGTATACTTGTTGAAGAAAAAGAAAATGTTTTTCAGCAGGAATAATGGATAGTAAAAATGTCGAACTGTCGTAAATCGTTTACAGAGCTGTGAGACGTGGAGATAAACATTCGCCAAGATTTTATCTCGAGTGTTTGGAAAATACGTCGACTTAAAACACGTCAATAATATCATCAAATAACTTTTTATGAAATATTTCATCGATTTATGCAAACAACATTTTTCAACAGATTGAAATTATGGCAAATGATCATGAACTAAAGAAAAATCTGTTATAAACATTGATTGTACGATTTTTATTTTATGATATATATTTGTCATAATTCTATATGTAACTATTATTTCGGAATGAAATATTTATAGTGAAAAAACTATATATATATTCAGTTTTATAAAGAAAAAACTATATGTATAATCTCTAAAAATATTTTGGAGATTACATATATAGTTTTTTCTTTATAAAAGTGAAATTTTAATATCTATTTTAACATGAGTCTTGTATCACAATACTACATACCAATATGTGTTCGATTGAAAATGCAATTAATAAATGAATATACCTGATTAACTACCTATTGTAATAAGTATCGATTATTAATAATTATACACCCTCGTGGGAGTTAATGACAGCGTAAAATAAGATATATATTGACTATCAAATTATTTGCTACATGAATCTTTGATTAACACAAGTAAAATTTAGTATTGTTACCATTGTTGTTGATATAATTAGTAACAACAATTAGTAACAACGTGTGCCTCGGAAATTGGTAGTTAACCTAGAAGCACGTCGATTATACAAGTGCACCCTATGCTATTTCTAGCGTTGGTGCACTAATACAAAATTAGCGCTAGATTCCGAAAATTAACGCTAATTGTGATTACGCAAGCATAACGTATTGTAAGTATCGGAACACGTGACATTTTTTGCTCGTGTAATTTTGTCGTTGAGCGATCAATAACGCTCCGTTATTAACGCTTAATGTAGCCTAATTGCTCGTCTCTACGTCGATGTAATCCGATTATTATCGTCGCACAAAAATGTACGCGTATCGCCTGTTATCATGCGTGCTATAGGCTGCTTTGATAATTACTAGCAGGACTTATTGTTAAAATAAAAATTTATTATCCTTCACTTATTTTAAAGAACTTAAAAACTTTATAAAAAAATGTAAGTAATTTGAAATTAGCAAGTAATTTAACGAAAAGGATTAAAAATTTCACATTAATTGTTCGCTAAGAAATGTCGATATTTTGCGGAAATGTTTGCCGTTATTAGTTTCCGATAGTATTTTTGAGTCGTTATTAGTTTACGTTTTTAGTCGCATCTCAAACGATATATGTATGAGAATCTTTGCGCTGGAATAGCCTACTATTTTTCATCTCACACTAATATTCAAACTTCAACTCTCGGTTATGCTGTACATTACACTTGGAGACTTTACAACTCGCGTCTTATAGCAGGTTTATTGCGTCGTTCAACGATACGAAACGGTTTTCAGAATGTTGTCCTCACGCTCGTTTCTTGCACTCGCCATAGAAACGCATTCGAAAAGCGCATCGCGGTGAAATAATAACATTCCTTTTCAACAATTTATTCCCTTTTTAACATTCTACGTTCCAAACTGTGTTATGTTAACTACCTCTCTAAATATCGATTCTCTATCATTGAATAAAGTGGTGAATGTGAATTGAAAAGTAAATTTCTTGCATACTATAATAGTTGTGATAAACAGTTGGATGAAAGAACAGCATGAAACATATTTTTTTCTTGTTGAAATAAAAGAATTCGTAAAAAAGTACTTAATATAATTTCATCCATTTACTTTATCATGATTTTTTTCCATTGTAGGTAGAATTATGATAAAAGAATGATTGAAAATATCTTGACCTATACTTAATATGGGAAAAATTGCTTATGGCAATAGGAAAAAATAGTCGACGTTTTTTTTCTCAAAAGTAAAATATTTTTGAGAGCTTTTCTCAAAAGTAAAATATTTTTGAACAAAAGCTTAGAAAGAAACTGACAATTTTCTTCTTGGTGGGAGTTTGACTTTGCGTTAAGTACTATATATCTGATGTAATAAATTTCACCGTAAGTCCTCTTATGTGTAGCCCGGTAAGTCCTTCCCGTTCCTTCTAGTTTATTCGCTTCTGTACACACTGCGTATATTTTATGTTGCATACAGTCTGTCTTATAGTACATCACGAGCAGTAAAATTATTATTACACTTTATTAGCATTTTAGTAGTAAATTTCTAACAGTAGTATCGTTTCTCTTCAATAATCGACGAGCTATCTTTAACAGTCGGCTTAGAAATGTATTCGAGTTTTACAGAGGCAATAAAAAAACAATTCATAAAGTTTACGAAGAATAAATAAAGCGTGCATATAAATAAAAATAGTTACACTTTAGTACACATATTAATATGCATCAATGAAAATACGAGCATATTGAACAATAAATAAATTTATCTGTTATAAAAATAAACGCTCACACGCATTTTTGTAACAATCACGTACATCATAACATTCAAGTTACAATGTATTCAACATATTAGATAAAGAATTTACGTATTAATTATGCAAATTATGGTCACGCAAATTTTTTGTCAAACTACCAAGAGTAAAATTTAATGCAAGAATTATAATATTAATTTTTCAATAAGCCGCAAACTCTTAGAGCACACATTTTTATTTGCGTCTGGTTGCGAAACAACTTGGCGAAAATTTGTCGTTTACTCTCATGCGGTTGCATTAAAGGGCAACCGATGTTGGCAACCGTATATGGTAGTCTGCTTACGCGTCGGTTTGTTCGCATTTTAGTTTACAGATCCTGCCAGCAGTTGCGAGATCAAATGTTTTCCGTGAAATTATATATGCCAACACCGTCGAAGGGCAGCAATATCATTTCGTTTGCTCTCCGTAAACATTCGCCTCGTGTAGAATCCCCGTTATTTAACTAATAAATTTAAAGTTAAAAATGCAAAGTCTTTCTGGAGAATTTGAGATGCATGAGGCTGCATTAATTACACGTTTGTTGAGTTATATCCTCCTGACAGAATAGCGCAAAGCTTAACTCAACCACCTGCATACGTTTTATAAACTGACTTATATAAATATCGTAAAATTATATAATTTGACGCTGCGAGCCAGATTTTCATATATCTCACGCTTATAAAAATAAATTTGCGCCAACATTTGTGCTATATTGCACATTAATAAAGATAATTAGAAGTTAAAGACGAGAAATAAATGATTCTTATAAAAATAAATTTCGCGTTAATTACATTATTTATCGCGTAAAATTACATTATTTATCTTGTATAAATTTCTTGTAACTAAAAATGTATGTGCACATTTTCTACGAAATGCTTCAGATAATGAAATAATTCGCTCTAGATATATCTTTTTATTTTTTTTTTAATTTTCTATTTATATCTTTTATTTTTTAAATTCTTTTACGTGGAAAATTAAATGTTTTATTTCTTATTATTTAAATATTAGATAGTACAAGCAAAGCTTACCTGGAAGACAACTCACTGCTTTCTCCTCGTCGGAACATTTCTGCGTCAGCCACAGGTAATCAAACCATTTGATAACTTTCACCTGCAAATGGTTCGGTACTCTCCTCATCCTCATGTATGTTTTCACGCCGTCCAGCTTCGCTGCAACCAATATACAATTGTTTTTATTACAATTTATCATCTCGAGTGACACAACTCAATGTGATATATTTATAAGAATTTTAATCGCGTTCTTTATAGTATCTGTACTTTTTAAATTTTAGACAGTACTTATATTATATAAATTGCGTAATATTTCACATGATCATTCGCATTAAAGTTAATTCTATATAAGCTAATCATGCATACATGATGTGATATTATACACGGTGTATATAAACGTTTCCAATTTCAATCAATTATCATTTGAATATCGAGAGCTTCGCATGAAACCATTCCATTTTCCAATTCGCAAACATGATAGTACGCCATTATATCGTTGAAATGTTCGAGTATTAATCTTTGCGGTCGTTTTCGCTGATTAAAGTTGATATAATCAAATTTCGACGATCATGTGGCTTCGCTGTATATAACGAATAAATGTATTACAAATGTAAAGGAAAACTTTGTGAAAAAGAAAATAATTAACTTTTTTACAGTCGAATTATAACTCAAAGTAATATTCTTTTATTTTTATTTATTATTAGAAATGTATTTTCTGCTTCGTTTGAAAGTACTTTTCATTCTTTTCGTTTTATCGAATTAATTATGCCGATTAGAGCAATTATACAAGCAATTTTTCATCACGCCAAAGGGCACATAGTTATCAATTAATTAAAACGAATGAAAAGAGAGGAACTCTCTCTCTCGTATGATTCCCATTCTTTTTCATCTTTTCGATGAAAAAACTATTGTATTGCGATTTGTTAATATAGCGATATTGTGACGTATCCGCGATGCAATTGTTGCACGGGTCGCAGATCAATAGTGACGCAGTGAAACGGAAAACTAAGATAGCGTTACAATTTTATAACGACATATCTCGATGTTACACATTCATGTGAACGGGTCATTCAACTGCGACGAAAAAATTGGATGAAAAAAATCGCCGAAATTAATATATCGTTAAAAATATAATAGTAGCGAAAGATATTGTTTAAAATCTTGAAAAAATGAAAACAGATAACAAATGATATTACAAATAATTTTATATTTGTATTATAATTGTTAATTAATAGCAGATTAATTAACGTTTTTTACTTCTAAACAAAATATAAAAGATCCTAATAATCTTACAATAATTTTACTAACAAATAATTTTCAGGTGCACATTTTAATTATTGCCTTTTTTTGCACCGTGCTGGCGCTAATGTATGCAAAATAAAAAAATTTATAAGGCATTTCGAAAGAGATGGCTGATACGTGCTTGTTATACTGAATAGGTAGGTGATGAAATATAATTTCGCGAGATACGATGTATTTCCACTTGGAAAAACTGCAAAATATAGACGATTTTTGTCAACTTTTTGATGGCAAATGTTCATCAAAAAATTTTTGACAATTTTGCTACGCAAAGGACATCGTATTTCCTTTTGAAGATTCAGTTTCAAGTGCAACATAGATACTGGAAAATATATAAAACAAGAGCAAAATTATGTAGAATATAATTATGTTTAGATTATGAAAACGATTTCAACAAAGTTGTATGATATAATGGTTCTCTAAATATGATGTAAAGATATTATTGCTAAATTTCGCGATATTATTACGAAATTTCGTGTTCGCATCCGCGCATTACGTGAATCCATAAATATGGATTTAAGGAACGAAGAATGTACATCAAGAAATAAAACGTCAAACTGTCTCCGAATACCAATTTCTATCCACATTAAATATTCAATTATCGATATTCAATCGAGCAAGCAAAGAGCAATGAAACCAATAAGGAGGAATGCGTTTCTTCAGATTACATTGAACGACTGCGTTTATGAATATATCTGCAACCACCGTGCGTTCACCTTTTGTATGGATCATATTTTATGATTTATATTAAGATAAAGCTATTCTCTCGTATAAAGAGTTTGCTAACCAAAGAATTTTGATTAGCATTATCTTAAAATTGTGTAATCTCCCTTAAATTTAAAATACCAAAGATAAACTCCATCATAATACCATCCTCCGTGTGTATATTATAAATCATAGTATAAATAATTTCTAATGTATATAAAACTTTCAATTGAATTTAATCGATTGAACTTTAAATGTAAATTTAATAAGGTAAATTTCTTTGCCTCTCCTGTATCAAATTTCCGAAGTTGGCCGCTTTTTCGTTTCAGCTGTTCAAATGTTAATGCACGACGCGCTCCAAGGATCCGCAGTGCGGAGTTCACTGCAGCGACCTAAACTTTTTCCGTACAACAGTCGTCGTTTCAGGGAAGTTGCCGTTCCGGGATCGTCGATCTATCCCCGATATATACCTGCGAGGTAATCAATCCCAGATATCTCCCGGGCTGGGCTTGTGATTCAGGTGGAATCCCCGCGAACGGATACGAACGGGCGCAATCCGGAATTGGCCGAAAATGGATATAACGGGGACGCCGAGCTGGCTGGCTTCACCTCGCTTGACTGACAAGGAAGAGGGGTGGTTTCTATCGGAAATGGGCTTCCAGCCCATGACCGACGGCCCATGCCCGCTTCGAACGCTTCTCGGAATGGCGCAATTTAACTTATTCCCGCTTCTCTCGCGCGGCTCGCGCCTCGAGATTCGATCCGGGATGGCGAACAACCCGGAACGAGGACAGACCGGCGGAGACCGATATTGATAATATATACAGCAGTCTGATTCGGTCGATGGAGCGATCAAAGGGGCGAGAGGACACCCTTGGCCGCGATCCAACCGATTCACCCCTTTTCGATTATTTTTCAACCGGGTTCGTCGAACCGTGTCCAGGCATTGGGATCTGCGAGAATAGGGTTCCTCGGTGTGGATGTAAAGTTACATACGGACGATGTCCTCTTTGGAACGTTTCCGCGCAAGCGAAGTGGCCGTATCAAGAGATAGTATCTTCGACATTGAGATTATATATTCGTATAACGTTATGAATTTATTTCTTGTCGTTACAAGAATGGAGAAGAATATTTCTCTCGCATCATTATCCTTTCTTTATAATCGTCAATAAATTATATTGATCTCATGTAACATGAAATTCGAGAGAACCAAAGTTATCGATTTTTCTCGAATAATTACCATTGTTTTCGCAAATTTCATATATATTTATATTTTCTATGTAGCATTTGAGGATTTATGCGAAAATGCGTAATTAATATGTATTTATTATATATTATGAATTTATTATATATTTTGTGTATAAATAATGTTAGTTATTAATTAATATATTACCAGTAAAATATATTATTAATTAATTATTACTTATCATTATAATATAATTATTCTATTTTAGTCTTCATTTCCAGAGAATTATTGGCAATAAACATTCAAATGCGATGATTCAACATTTTGAATATATTTACATTTTCTATTTTTCACATTTTTATTTTTATTATAATTTTATTTTAGTTTTTGTTCACTCTTCTTCTCCATTTTAAAGAAATAAAAGAACGACATTAGATGTGAAAATGAGATGCATTGAGATCGTGCGTTAACGTGGAAACGAACGTAAAAGTCTTTCGCTGTATGCTTAATGATAGAACTTTCAAATGTCTTAAAGTCTTAAAGGGTAATGGAGAGTATTCGCGCGTCAGTACAAGATCAAAGCATCGTGATAATTTCTGGCTCGTTCCCAGTTCTGTTGAGAGAATAGAAGTCGTGCTTATTTCACGCCAAAGAGAGACTCAGTTCTACCAGAATGACAAATAGCTATTGTACTTTATTGAAAATAATCCTTCCGAAAGAAATTTAAATGAATTTTATGATCTCTTTTTGTAGATATTACAAAAATTTCGCTAGCGCTCCATCAGCCAAATGATCAAATTTTATAGAAAAATCAGATGTTAATTCGTCGAGAAATGAAGATGTTAAAATGGATTAAGTATGAAAGTGCATACGGGAAATTTTTCAAGAAAAGAATATAAAAGTATCAACTGCATGCGATTCGCGAGTAATTCTTTTTCTTTTTCCGAGAAATTCGCAAATTTTTCTTTCTTTGAAAAATTACTATACTCCTTGTTCTTTCCCTCTCGTCACTTCTGACTCTGATCCCTAAATGACATGCCGACGTTGTCTGTCCAAACGCGCAACCTGAAACTGACAGTCGGAGACGAGACTCCGGAAGATCGATGGATCCTCGAGACGCGGTCTTAACGACCTTGTTCCATGTTACCGATAGCCTCTACCGGAACGTCATTACTTTCCTTTCAGCCCACTCGATCAAGGCACTCCCTCTAATGAACGGTATCTGTAAATGCTTTGCACGCAATAAAAGTAAGGACACCGCGTAGATTGCGTTCGCGTTATTCTCATAAATATCGCTAACGATGAAGAAATACAACTATTATGCCTACCTCTGCAAAATGAATTTAGTTGCTCTTATAGATGTAAATTCCGTTTAGTTCGCGTATTTTGTCACAACACGATATCACTTTTGAATATTTCGCTTTGTTTTCGTCGCCGTCGAGCATTGCGCCGATTCCTGCTTGTCCAAAAATATTACTGTTGTTGTGAATTGCATCGAAGCTCGTATGATCGTACGATCGAATAAAAATGGAAAAAATAAAAGAAAAAAGATAAATCAACAATTGTTCGCTCGCGATTTAATAAGGCGGGTAAATCGCCAAATGTTCAAAACAAGAGCACATGTGTTGCCAATCGAACAAAATTTGCTGCGAGCGCTTGCAAATCGCTTTTGCTTTTGAAATTCCGCTGCACGCCGAAGGGTGTATTGTGTGCCTCGGGGCGGATTAATTTTCGTGAAAGTCTCCCGGGCCAATTAATGGCGAAACGCGGCCTCGTTAATTATCCGAAATTCTGAACGAGCGTGCGTCGTGCGAACGCGAGTTTACCCTATTAGCTAGACTTTCTCTCCGCATTGTTAGCGTAAGAAACGCGATATTCTCCAGCTTGATAGATTTACATCAGTGCGCTTCAAACAATTCTTTCGCAGCTCGAATTTCCGAGTTTGCCTCGCGGTCATTCCGCAAACTAT